AATATAGTATGGATATATAGATATATTATATATGCTACTAATATAATATGTGTGTGTATATATACACATATATAAGATACATATACATATATACACATATATAGATATATGTATATATAAATACATAATATGCAATACATATGTAGTGTAGGTGACTAAATGTATAAGAAAAATTTGAAAATTAAGAACCATGTTTAAAAAGGCATACAGGCCGGGCGTAGTGCCCACACCTGTAATTCCAGCACTTTGGAGGCGAGGGGGTGATCACTTGAGGTCAAGAGTTCAAGGATGTACAGCGCATGCGCGATAGCATAGGTGACACCCCCTGTCTCTAGCTAAGAATTACAATTAATTACCTCATCCCAGGTTGGAGCAATCCAGAGAGCACCTGGTGGGAGCGCGACAGCTACTATCGTGGAAGGCCGCCGAGAGCGAGAGAAAAGATTAGGCTTGGCAACCCCGGGAAACAGGAGAGGTACTGCGGTGGAGCTGAGATCTTCCATGGCACACGCGAGCACTACGCAGCCTCGGGCCGGCAGAGCCAGCACCTGTGTCGCCCCCCTTTTCCTGAGCTTCCCCAAGCGTGCGGAAGGTTGGCAGGGGGTAGAAGAAGGTGCCCCCAAATTTTAATGGTTCACTACATTTAGATAGAAGACCTGGGGACAACAAGACATTGTCATGGCCCAACACCCTCATAACTTGGAGTTGACCCAGGGAGTGTAAGCTGATGTCCAGACACCACGGCCAGAAGCCACAGAGAAGGGCAATCCAAGGATCCAGGCTGTCAAGGGCCTGTCTGCCCCCACCCAAAAGCTGTCATCCCTGACAACCCAGGATGTGGAGGGCCAACTCATTACACGTAACAAGAAAACTAGAAAAACTGTGACCTGCTTAATTTATGGAAAAAAAGGAGCAAAATGATTCTCATCAATCCAAGATAATCTCCTGACCTCTTGATCTGCTCGCCTCAGCCTTCCAAAGCGCTGGGACTACAGACGTGAGCCACCGCACCCGGCATAGTTTTGCCATTTTTAGAATCTTTATTCCTATCATTGCTGTGGCTGTAGTTTTCAATTCCTGTATCATCTCTTTCATAAAGACATATATCTTGTTATTTAATCATAGGGAGGCAGTCTGAGTGTAATCTTTAAGGACTGAAACATTGCAGCCAGACTCTTTGGGTTCAAATTCTAGTTCTATAACTTATCAGTTCTGTGTGGTTGGCAGCTTGCTTAACCCCTCTGTGCCTTAGTTTTCTTATCTGAAGTAGGGACAAAATAGTACTTGCTTCAAGTCCTTCCCATGGTTGTTGTGAGCATTAAATGAGTTACTACATGTTAATCACTAAGAAGAATGCTTTTCATGAAATATAAAGTAAGTTATTACAGTATATTGCAACGCTATTGTGAAATCAGATTTCTGTTTTTAGAGAAGTTCTGACATAATGTTTCTTTTCACTAATTGTCCTAGTTTCCTAATGGAAGTTGGCTTTCTAGAAAGTAACAAATAATTGATACAAGATAATTATGGTGTTGATGACTTTTAAAAATAATATTCTAATCAGAATATGAACCGCGTTCTAATTTAAGTGACATAATACTGTTCAAAAATGTCTTGGTGTAGATTGTTTTAACAGCTCTTTTGAGCTCTAATTGAAATACAATAATCTGTATATAATTAAAGTATACAATTTGATTAGTTTTGATGAATATATATACACTCACCTATGAAACCACCACAATTGAAGCAGTAAATATATCCATTACCTGCAAAAGTTTCCTCATGTCCCTCAGTGATCCTTCCTTCCCACTCGTCCCTGCCCCATTACAAGGCACTGCTGATATTTTCTGTCACTCTATATTTGTTTATAATTTCTCGAGCAAGCTTGTCCAATCTGCTGCCTGTGGGCCTCATGCAGCCCGGGATGGCTTTGAATGCAGCCCAATGCAAATTAGTAAACTTTCTTAAAACATTATGAGCTTTTTTTGCAATTTTTTTAGGCTTATCAGCTCTGGTTAGTGTTAGTATATTTTGTGTGTGGCCCAGGACAATTCTTTTTCTTCCAGTGTGGCCCAGGGAAGCCAAAAGATTGAACACCCCTGTTCTAGAGCTTAAAAAATGCTGTATATGGAATCATACAGTGTATACTTTTTTGGTGGTCTGACTCTTCATTCAGTAAAATTATTCTGAGATATAGTCATGCTATTACTTGTAACAATAGTTCATTTCTATTTATTGTTGAGTAGTAGTCTGTTGTATTTATATACTACAATTTGTTTATCCACTCACCTGTTGATATACATTTGTGTTGTTTCCAGTTTGGAGCTATTAAGTAAAAAAGCTGCTATTCAAATACAAGTCTTTATTTATTTATTTCAGTTTTTTTTTTTTTTCTTTTTTGAGATGGAGTCCTGCTCTGTTACCAGGCTGAAGTACAGTGGCTAATCTTGCCTCACTGCAACTTCCATGTCCCGCATTCAAGCTATTCTCCTGCCTTACCCTTCAAATACAAGTCTTTATATGGCTATATGCTTTTCTTTATCTTGGGTAAATTACTAGGAGTAGAATGGCTGGGTCATGTGGTAGATGTCTGTCAAACTTTGTAAGAAACTGCCAAACTGTTTTTGAAAGTGGTTGTACATTTTACTTTCCCACTACTAAAGTATGAGAGTGCCAGTTGTTCCAAATCCTTGCCAGTACTTGCTATGGTCATTATTTTTAGTTTGAATCATCCCAGTAGATATGTAATAATTTCTCACTGTGGTTTTAATTTTCATTTTTCTGATGATTAAAGATGTTGACCATCATTTAATGTACTTATTTACCATTGTATATGTTCTTTTTCTTTTCTTCTTTTTTTTTTTTTTTTTTTTGAGACAGAGTCTCGCTCTGTCGCCCAGGCTGGAGCAGTAGCACGATCTCCGCTCACTTCAAGTTCCACCCCCTGGGCTCATGCCATTCTGCTGCCTCAGTCTACAGAGTAGCTGGGACTACAGGTGCCCACCACCACACCTGGCTAATTTTTTGTATTTTTAGTAGAGACAGGGTTTCACTGTGTTCGCCAGGATGTTCTTGTTCTCCTGACCTTGTGATCTGCCCACCTTGGCCTCCCAAAGTGCCGGGATTACAGGCGTGAGGCATGGCGCCCAGCCAGGTATATATTTTTTGATGAAACGTCTAGTTAGACCTTTTGCTCATTTTTACATTGAGTTTTTTTAAAATTATTTTTGAATTTTGAGAGGTTCTTATATATTCTGGGTTTAAGTCCGTTATCAGACGTATGCTTTGCAAGGATTTTTCTCTCAGTCTGTGACTTGTCTTTTTATTCCATTAATAGTGTTTTTGAATTGTAGTTTTTAATTTTCATAAAGTCCAATTTGCCCATCTTTTATTTTATGGATTGTGCTTTTGTTGTACTACCTAAAAATCTTTGCCTGACCCAGGGTCACCAAGTTTTTTTTTTTTTTTCTTGGAAATTTTGTAGTTTCAGACTACATTTAGGTCTCTGATGTATTTTTAATTACTTGTAACTGGTGCCAGATATATATTGAAGGTTTTTGTTTTGATTTTTTCCAAGTGGATATCCAGTTTAACCAGTACTTTTTTTTTTTCTTAATACCTATTCTTTTCTCTCTGAATTAACCTTTGCATCTTTATTAAATTTCAGTTGTTTGTATGTATGTGGGTCTATTCCTGTACTTTTCATTGATCTATTCATGTATTTTGATTCTAATACTATTCATTTTTTATTACTGAAGCTTTATAACAAGTCTTGAAACCAGATAGTGCTAGCAGTTTTAACTTGTTCTTTTTCAGTGTTGTTTTGGCTATTATATACGTTCTTTGCCTTTCCATATGGATTTTAGAAATTAGCTTGTCAAGTTTTACAGAAAAAACCTGCCAAGATTTTGGTTGAGATTGCATGGAATCTGTAACTCATTTCGGGAAATGTTGATATCTTAATAAAAGTCTTCTATCTCTGAAAAAGTCTTTTTAAAGTAATATAGGCCTTTTAAATGTCTCAGCAATATTTGATAGTTTTCAGTAATCAAGTCCTTAATTAGATTTGTCCTCAAGTATCGTATTTTTTATGCCTATGTAAATGTTTTTTTAACATTTAAATTTCTTACTGATAGTTGTTAACGTGTAGAAATACAATTAATTGTAGATCCCATTGAATTTTCCACGTAGAGTAGCACACTTTTATTTCTTCCTTTCCATTCTGAATGCTTTTTATTTCTTTTCTATTTTTTTCTTTTTTCTTTTTTTTTGCTGGATTACATTGGCCAGAACTTCCACTATGATGTTGACTGAAAGTAGAAAAAGCAGACATGCTTGTGTTGTTCATGATCGTAGGGAGAAACTATCGAATTTTTTTTTTACCGTTAAGTCTTATATTACTGTAGTTTTTTCATAGACGTTCTTGATCAACTTGAGAAAGTTCCCTTATACTTTGCAGCATTTTTTTTTTTTTTAAAACAGGAATGGATGTTGAGTTTTGTCAAAGGCTTTTTCTGTCTCTATTGGGATGTTTATATGGTGGTTCGTTTTTAGTTTGCTAATACAGTGAATGACACTTGATTTTTAAATGTTAAACCAATCCAACATTTCCAAACTAAGCACCAATTTTTCACGCTGTTGTATCCATTTATATATTGTTGGATTTAATTTACTAACATTTGGCTAAGGAGATTTGTGTCTAGATTCATAGAATATTAATAGTTTTCTTTTCTGGTAATATCTTTGGATTAGTATCAGTGTAATACTGGCCTCAAATAATGAGTTGGGAAAATATTCCTTCTTCAGTTTTTTGGCAGTTTGTGTAGAATGGGTATTATTCCTTCCTAAATGTTTTGTAGAATTTACCAGTGAAGCCATCTGTGCCTGGGAAACTTTTATAACTACAAATTTAATTTCTTTAATAGATACACAGATTTTCAGGTTGTTCTTATGCTTTAGTAATTTGTGTCTTTCAGAGAAGTTGTCCATTTCATCTCAGTTGTCAAGTAAATACAGGAACAAAGGTAAACGTAATAGTTCTTCAGTATCCTTTTAATATCTGCAGAATCTAATGTCATCTGTCTTGTTTATGATATTGGCGAAATTCTATTATTAAGGACACATGTTTTAGATTGTTATGTACTTTTTGTTAATTGACCCCTTTATCACTGTGAAATGAGCACTTTTATATCTGGTGATGTTCTTTTTGCTATAATCTGTCTAGCATTGAAAGAGTCGCTTCAACTTCTTACTGCTAGCATAGTATATTTTCTCCTATCCTTTTACTTTTAACCTATTTGTGTCTTTTTATTTAAAATGCGTTTCTCATTGGCAGCATAGAGGGGGCCGGTCTTCCTTTCTTATCCAGTCTAACAATCTCTGCCTTTCAATTGAAATGCTACACAATTTGCATTTAATGAGATTATTGATATGGTTAGATTTATGTCTGTCATCATACTTGTTTTTGACTTGTCCCATGTGTTATTTGTTCTCTTTTCTTTGTTTCCTGCTGCCTTTTCAGTTGAGTAGTTTTTAATCTCCCTTCTTGTCTTATTGGTTGTGACCAGCCCTGACGCCTCAGAATATATGATTTAATGGACTTACTAGAGGTAGTCCTAGGTATTGGCATTTCTTTAATAGATTCCCGGGTTTGTGAACCACTGGACTAAATGAGCTCCATGGTAACTTTCAACTTACTAGCTATGTGACTTTGATCAAGTTATGTGACCTCTCTTAATTCAATTTCCTCATCTATAAAATGGATATAAGGAAACATATTCATCTGCAAGTTAAAAATATTTAAAATATTTTAAATAGTATGTTTATGTGGTTCAAACTTCAAAAGGTACACAGAGATTTAATATATACTATTTTATACTTTTGATTTTTTGAATTGTAAATTTTTGTATTAATAGATTTAGGTAAAATATTCTCAAAAACTCAAAATGAGGGATTTTATCCTTACAACGACTGAAAACTCAAAAATCTGGTTTTTGAATTGTTAATATGATTTAAATTATAATTTTAAAATTTACTGTGTTATAGTTTCTAGAGAAAAGTAAAAACTATCTTAAATTTTTCTCAGTGCGTAATAAGTCTCTTCAGGACAGGAGTATGACTTTTGAAATCGATTTACTGCATTTTTTGTTTTGTGCCTCTTCCACAGGTTTTGATTCCCACCATGGCCATCACCCAGTTTCGGTTATTTAAATTTTGTACCTGCCTAGCAACAGTATTCTCATTCCTAAAGAGATTAATATGCAGGTAAGTTTTATGTTCAAACTGACCTGTTTATCTCCTCGCTGGTTTTGGATACCTTCAAAACTTAAAATTTTGTGGATGGGACAGGTTATATTTAAGCTGAATATCTTGATTGCAGTATTTATTCATTAATTCCTAGTCATTTTTAAATACTTTTTCTCTACTTCAGATCTAGAAAATAGAGGTTCAGTTGTTTTTGTTCATTCAAATTCTTACACTTTCCACTAAAATAATATGCTTAATACTATTTAGGAATAGACAGACCAACTTTCGTTGTTATAATCATCACAGAACTTTGATGTATTTGTTTCGTTATAGGAATGTTTTAAAGTGGTTAGGTGAAATTCAGAATAGATATTTCTGCCTATACTACAGTAGTGTTGTTTTTATATTAAAAAAAAGTTATTTTGTCTATTTAAGTAACATTCCAGAAAATGCTAGTCAAGGGCAGGTAGGTCATTTGCTTTAGGACATCATCTGTAGACTTCAGTTCCTTCTGTTTTGTCACAGGATCATACCCAAGAGCTATGATTTCTAAAATGTGTGGTGAGGCACCTCAGGGCGTTACATGAAATTCACAGGGATGCCATAGAATATTTTAAATTTTCCAGTGAAACATAGTGATAGCATCTGTTGAATACCTCAACTCAAAGTAGTTCATATTTGCAACATTAAATCCTGCAGTATTTTTTTATGATGGTATTCTTTAATGTTTGAGATAGTTTTTGTTTACTTTTATTTTTGGCGACATCTCGTTGCAAAGCCAGAATTTTAGGTTGTAATTAAAAGCAAGTACTGCACCAAAATTAATGTAGAACTGAAAACAAGAATGATGGTCTCCAGTCTTATTCTAAGGCATAAGAAGCTGTGGAGTGTTCAACAGGCACACACATTTCATTAATAAGTACAGTGATTGTGGTTATTTAAGAATAAAATAGAAATATGACGTTTTCTTTAAATGTGTATTTTTTACAATGGCTACTCAGCAGTTAGGACATACTTAAGTATTAAGATTTTTGGGTGTAACTACCTTATTTGGTGGAATTGTTAGGTGTTTCTGTGGCCTAAGGGTACTGTGAAAAAGTTACACACTAAGAGGAGGGTATAGTAAAAGAGGAAATGGATAGCAATCAGCTCTTTATATATATATAGAGAGAGAGAGACATGATTTAGAGGTTGCACACAACAATTTTTGCACTGCCTGCTTTCCAGAGTTTAGTCATATGGCCCCCTAGCTGCAAGGAAGGATGGGAACTGCAGTCTGTGGCTAAATGACCATTTGATAGCTGCTAAAACTCTGAGACTTAAGTGCCATTGAATTTATTGCTACAAGTAGAGTGGTCTGAGATTTAAAAAAAAAAAAAAAGTCCAGGGTATTGCAAGAGACCAAGTGGGTGAAATGATCATCCAGAGATAATCACTCGAGCAGAAGTCAAGAAAGAAATGGAAAATTTAGGTGGTTGACTTGAAATCACCCAAGAGGGTAGGATTTGGGAAGTAGAAAAAGGAGTGACCTAAATGTTTAAATGACCAGAGAATGAGGAAGAGAATGGCCAGAAATTCACCAGGTAAAGCAACATTAAAAATGGGTATTAATTGCCAGAAGACAGGAAGTTAAAATAAGAAGCATTGTGTTAACAGTGGTGATGAAATATAGATGTTTTCTTTTTGCACTACTATTTTTTAAAATTTTCATTAAATAGATTACTTTTACGATAAGAAATTTTCTTGATGTAAAAATATTAAGAACATTCCTATTGTAAATGTATACATATTTAGAATTGATTGTATGTTCTATTTTAAAGAAAACTGACCATATGTTAGGATAAGTTTCTCTTTGGTGTCTGCAGGAACCTTAGACCATGTATTTTAAAATACCAGGCTTGGCCAGGCATGGTAGCTCATGTCTGTAATCCCGGTGCCTTGGGAGGCCGAGGTGGGAGGATAGCTTGAGGCCAGGAGTTCAAGACCAGCCTGGGCAACACAGCAGAACCCCATCTCTACTGAAAGGAAAAACAGGCTTATGTCATAAATTTCATATTACTTTTTTATATTACTTTTCTATTCAGCCTTTAAACAAATATAGCTTTGAATCTGTAATAAAAATAGCTGACTTTATCAAGTAGTTCTTATTGATGCTTTGTAGATTATTTGAAGTGAAGTAAGTGACTCATCATCTCTATTACCTGCCATTTTTTGTATGTTTTGCGATGTAGCAGGCACACACTGTCTAGGGATTTTAAATATGTCAGTTAATTAAATCCAAACAACCCTGCAAAAGTGGGTTTGAATACCTGCATTTTATAGATGAGGCTGTTGAGGCTGAGAAGTAGATAGTTCTAACTAGACATAATAGAAGTAACATTGAAAACTGTGGTTTACAGATCCCACAGCACATGTTCTTAACAACTGAGTTATAGTACGTCCTGTTTAATGTGGTACTTCTACTAATCCTTAAAACTAAATTACCGTTTGGTTCAAACCAGTGATTTAATTCTTAATAGTTAATCTTATCAAGAAACCCCATGTATAAAACATAAAAGCCAAGCCACCCTGTTTAAAACAGCAAAGGTGGCCCAGAACTTCACCCACAGAACCCATAGCACTCCAAGGAGCATGCTCTGAAACCATCTTGCATTTTTGTTTTTGACTTTATATTCCTCTAGAATTTGTTTATAATTCGAAGTCTTAAGCCAAAAAGCAGTTATATTGTTCTGTTTCTGTCCAAGATTTAAAAAACATTCACAAGATGTCTGATTTATGACTTTTTTACCATAAATTAATGAGTAACTGTTAATTATTAAAATCAATAATCATAAAATTGAGAAAGATCTTGTTTTATAAGCCTTAAATTACCAGATACATAGTGCTTTTACTTTGCTTGTTTTGGTAGTTCTTGAAATAAATTATTTCATTTTTGTTTCAGATCTGGCAGAGGACGGAAATTAAGTGGAGACCAAATAACTTTGCCAACTACAGTTGATTATTCATCAGTTCCTAAGCAGGTAGGTTTTTCTTTGTTCTTTTGTTTTGTTTTTGAAAAATTGAGTAAGTGTCCTAGAACAATATATTAATAGAAATTACTTTGATTTTTGTTGTATTGTTAAATTTATCTGGTCTGAAAATTCTATTTAGTTCTTCATTTTATCTTGTTTCTTTGTTGACATTTTCTATTTTGTTTTCATTGGTTTCAAGTGTTTGCTATTGCTTGTTGGAGCATTTTTATAATAGCTATTGTAAAGCCTTAGAGAATTCCAACATATCATTTTGGTGTTGGTATCTGTTGATTAACTTACCTTGCAAATTAAGATTTATTGATTTTTATGTGCTGAATAATTCTGGGTTGTTTCATGAACATTTTGAATACTATGCTTTGAGACTTTGTCTTATTTAAATCATGTGGAGAAGCTTGGTATTTTTTATCAGATGATCAATCTGGTTAGGCTTAGGTGAAAATGTCCAGTCCTTCTATGGGTTGTAGTTTTAATGTCAGTTCAGTTTTCAGAACATTTGCTTTTGTTTTACTTTGTTTTTTGTTTTTTAATAGACATAATAGAATAAAATACAACATAATATATCAGAATGTCTTGTATTTTTTCAACTTTTGATCAAGTTTTGATCTGCGATATAAAATGTATATTTTCCTGTGGGTCAAAAATGTGTGAAAACCAGTGTTTTTGTAAAGTCCATTTTTCCAATAAATCATCAATGAAATGTTCATTAAGTTGCCCCTTTGTGGCTGATACTGTTGATCAATTAAATTTAGACAGATGTTGAAGAGTGGACTTCCTGGGATGAAGATGCACCCACCAGTGTAAAGATCGAAGGAGGGAATGGGAGTGTGGCAACACAACAAAATTCTTTGGAACAACTGGAACCTGACTATTTTAAGGACATGACACCAACTATTAGGAAAACTCAGAAAGTATGTTAAGATTTATGCTTTTGGAGATTAAACTACTTTTTAGATTCCTATAGTTAAAATTAGATTATACAATTCACATTTCTTAGAAAGCCTATTTCTAACTATCTGTTGTTTGTTTTCTGTCGTGTTAAGTAAGAATTTTATATGTTCAAATGACCTGGACATAGTTCTAGTAAGTTGTACCCCAAATCTTTTAAAATTATATTTATACATGTATCGAAATCCTACTATATGTCAGATTCTAGACTCCAATCTCTGCCATGGAGACTAAGGTGAATTGGATAAGAGTTCTAACAAGTTCATACTTTAGTAATATCTACAAACTGATAAGTGGATTTTATTGTTTGTAACCATTATAAAACTGATGGAGGACTCTAAGAACTTAAGAATAATTGTGAGTTTGTATTAGTCATCTATACATTATTTAATCTCTTTTGAATTGAATATGGAAGATCATTTAGAGATACAGGGAATTACTGGAAAAAGCAGAATGCTTGAGTATTTTCCTTTTCATTTATCAAAATACTACATGTACTTTTTTTAAATCAAAAAATGTAGAAGAACTTATAATGAAAAGTTAGACTTCTGACCTATCACTCTTCTTAGCCAGTTCTACTTCCAAGAAGCAGCCACTCAATAATTTTCTGTTTGGATTTCTTCAAGTGTTTGTCACCATATCTATCTATAATATGATTATATTTCCATTTCTTGTTTACCAGTAACAGACATTGTCCATTACATTAATATTATGGTAAATGAAGATTTATTTATTTCCCAGTCACTCTGCTATATCAGAAAAACACACTTAAAGCTCACTTTCCTGTTCAAACATAGAAAATGTTATCTCATATATATATATGTGTATATATATATTTACACACACTTTATAAAAATTAGGACATTATTTCACAATTTATAATGCAGTTGTTCCTCACCTTCTTTCTCTCAACTGATTTCAGCTATACATTTATATTTACATTGTCTAGGTTGATAACATTTACATTCTTTTTTGTTGAGTTGTCCAAATTTCTCAATGCTAAAACACATTAAATTGTGTATTTTTAAAGGATTCTTTAAGTGAGTTTCTTAGTAGAGGAATACCTTGCATTGTGGAAGTATACTGCTGCTCTGAGTAGGAAGCTAGTGTATTACACTATAGTGCCTTATTAAATTAATTAGAGTGGAAATGCTTTGAATAAGGCTACCAACATATCATATAAGTGTATTTTGATGCTACTGGCCTGAATGAGTTAATGTATTCATAGGTATCTCACATGCTGGGAGAGTTGTTTATACTATTGGCAGGATATGATACCTGTTCTTATTTAATACAGTAACTAAAAGTGATTGATTATATTTTGGGGTCTGGGGAAAGTAGGAGAGGAAGAAAGAAAATGAGACTGTATTAATTTTTAAAAGTGAAATACAATTTTTCTTAGTATGTAACTGATTTTTACAACAATTGCCTGGGAAATTGGTATTTACAGACTTTTTTTAGTTTTTACATTGTAAATTTTAAAAAGAAATATTTTAAGTAATTACAAAATGTTTTGGTTGTCTATTCTTATGTAGTGATTTGTAAAATATCCCTATAATTCTTTTTCAATTAATCTTTCAGATTGTTATTAAGAAGAGAGAACCATTGAATTTTGGCATCCCAGATGGGAGCACAGGTTTTTCTAGTAGATTAGCAGCTACGCAAGATCTGCCTTTTATTCATCAGTCTGTAAGTATGTTAATGGTTCTAGGGAAAGGTTTCGTTTTGTTTCTGTTTTCTTTAAAGCAGAGGAATAAAATCTAAATGAGTTTAACATAGTATTTATGTTTTTGTAACTTTGAAACAAGTTTAGCAGTTCGAGAGAGGTTAATCTGGAGTTTACCAATCCTAACCTTTTATGAGATTGTAAATTACATTAGATACTAAGATCAAGGTCTCATTGTACAGGTGAAAGATAGACACAATGTTATTTAAAAATATGAACATCAGAGAGATTACCCTTAAAATGAGAGATTAACCCTAATGGTAGATTATTTTAAAGTGAGTTGTGAATTGTTTTCTTCACAGAGTGTATTTTCATTCAAAGTATGACTTAATTTTAAATGATTTGACTTAAATGAAACTTTTTAAAGGAAAAATTTTTGGAAGAAGTAGACAGCTGAGGTTCTCAACCTTGGGAGCATATCAAAATCAGCTTTGGAAGTTTTTTAAAAGCACAGATGTCCAGACCCCTACCTACCTAAGCTTTAAGCATGCTTTGATTGATTGATTATATTATCTATTGTTGTGTAACAACTCCAAATTCAGTGACTTGAAATAATAACAGATATTAATGTCACAGTTTCTGTGAATTGGGAATCCAGGTGACTAAACTGGGTGGTTCTAACTCAGAATTTCTCATGAGTTTGCAGACAAGTCATTGGGTTGGGTCTTCAATCATCTGAAGGCTTGACTGTGGTCGAAGGATTCATTTCAAAGACAGCTCACTTCTACACCTGACAAATTAATGCTGTTTGTTTGCACAAAGCTTCAGTTCCTTGCTGTGCACCTCTCCAAGGAGCTGCTTGAATTTCTTTATGACGTAACTGCTGATTTTCCCAGTAAGTGATAAGAGAGTGAGAGCACTTGCTCATGGGTGAGGGTGACACCACAATGCCTTTTTGTGATGTGGTTTTGTAAGTGATACACTGTCACTTCCACGTTTTTTCTTTAGAAGCCACTAAATCCAGCCCACACGCAAGCCTCCACCTCTTGAAGGAAGGAATGTCTAAGAAGTTGTGGACGTATTTTTAAACTACATTTGTCTGTCAATCTATGTATTTTATTTATTTGTGTAAACTGCATAGTTGCTTCTGAGGCCCCTCTCCCCAGGTGACCCATGTATATGTATATTTTTAATTCATTGAGTAAAAACATTGTTTTTACAAAAGCCAGACCCTGTGGCATTAAAGGGTCTTTGCCTCAGAAAAATGCATTCTAGTAGGGAAGACATGATATTAAATAAATGATCACACATATCAATGTAATTACAAACTTTGATAATTCCTATGCAGTTACATGATGCTATGAACATACACCATAGATACTTAGCTGAATAACGTAGCATTATAATGTTTAATTTTTTATTTTATACATCTCAAAATTAAACTTTATTCATATATGTTTGATCCGTATTGGTGAAATGCTTTAATCCTACCCGCTGAATTAGCAATATTTGCCACCTATATAATACTATAATACTATCGTAGCTCATTGTAAAGTTGTAAATATACAACTACTTACAGAGTTGAGAAGGGTTAAGTAGGGTAGATGGAGAATGTCTCCACTGCTGTTTCCACGTATTTTCCTCCCAGGCAGACAGAATAAAGGGGCATTGCATAGGAGAGGATGGTAACCTATTGGACTTTGTTTTCTATACCAAAAATATCTTACCATTCATTCTACAAATTAGATTCTTCTTTTAAACTATACATTTTATTTTTTTCTAGAATTCATCATTCGTATCGTTGTGAGAGTTCTTTTACACTAAAGATAAATGTCACGTTTTATACTTTTTTAGTTTGTTCAATTGGTTTGGGTATTTTTGTTGGGCAGGTGTATTTAGTTTTTATGTAGACAGATCTATCAATGGTTTTCTCCCTTTTTCTTTTTACTAAGGCCATCTCTACTAAAGGATCAGTACCACCCTTTTTAATGGTCTCTGTAGTTTTTAAAAAATCTAAATATTTTATTTACTCTAACAGTCAAATACTTACTTTAGTGGAAGAATAGATAATATGAATGGGAAATTTACAAATAAGAAATAGACATAACCTAATTTGAAGAAAAGCTTGATCTTATTAGTGCTCAAAGTAGGCCCAGTGAGGTGGTACATGCCTGTAATCTCAGCACGTTGGGAGGCCAAGGTGGGCAGGTCAGTGGAGCTCAGGAGTTCGAGACCAGCCTGGGCAACATGGCGAAATCTCCCCTCTACCAAACTAAAACAGTTAGCTGGGTGTGGTGATGCGCGCCTATAGTCCCAGCTACTTGGGAGGGGCTGGTGTAAGAGGATTGCTTGAGCCCAAGAGGTCGAGGCTGCAGTGAGCCGTGATCACACCACTGCACTCCAGCCTAGGTGACAGAGTGAGACCCTGTCTCAAACAAAACAAAGTAAAATAACAAGATACAATTTTAAATCTTGTCAAATTAGTAAAGAGAAAAGAAAGCAGCTGAGTGCAGTGGCTCATACTTGTAATCCCAGCAATTTGGGAGGTTGAGGCAGGAGGATCACTTGAGGTCAGGAGTTCAAGACTAACCTGAGCAACATAGCTAGATCTCATTTCTAAAAAAAGTAAAAAACAATTAGCCAGTTGTGGTGGCATGTGCCTGCAGTCCCAGCTACTAGGGCAACTGAGGTGGGAGGATCCCTGGAGCCCGGGAGTTTGAAGCTGTTGTGAGCCATGATCACACCATGCACTCCAGCCTGGGCAGCAAAGTGAAATGCTGATTCCTAAAAAAAAAAAACAAAAAAACAAAAAAAAACAAGGAGGTGGGGAGAAGAAAAGGCAAGATTTCTACCTGCTGCAGTCAAGAGGATAGCTTGGTACTTTTCAAAGCTGTCATTTGCACTTTCAGTAGCTTTAAAAATGCTTCTTTCAGAAATGTATATTAAACAATTAGAAATATTTTAATAATTTTTAACAGAGTATGGTATTACATATACCATGTATATGTCAGAAGAAGAAAGCTCAAAACATTCTATTTCATTTTTAGGGGTAAGTATTTAAAACAATATGATATTAAATAAATCTGTTCACAGATTGGTACCAGTTATTTTACACACAGTCACTTCCAAACCTACCTAAACAGTCCAGCATGACCATTTTCATTAGTTATTGAAAGAAAACAGTGAACTTTTGGAGGTCTGCCTTGGGAAATAGAGGTAGGGACCAGTAGATGATACCAGGTAAGAAAGACTGGGAAAAGGAAGCATGGCATAGAAGTATTTCAATAAAGATACATTTTGCATGATTTGTCATTTTTGCCTAGGATTGACATAGTAAGTGCCAATAAAAAATCTCTGGTAAGTTACATATGCTTAAATGAAGATGACTGTGCTAGTTTTTACATTTCAGCTTGCAGTTCTTTTCAGCACAGATTAGTCCAGTCAAGGATTTCTGATTCAGTCTGGGATCAATCAATTTCTTGTCACTCTATCCCCAGCTCCCTCATCTTACTGAGAAGAGAAAGAAACCAAAGAAATGTTCTGTTCTTGTTCATTTCAAAATAAAGTACAGCAAAGAAGAAAATTTAAGAGAGTATCCCATAAAACATAAAATAAAGAAGAAAGCTGGACTTGCCTTGGACTGTTGAGCATTGAAAGTCATACATCAGTTCTAGGCAAGCCAAAAGCAAAATCATTTGTGCCTTGTGTAGGACAGGGTAAGGAAACTGAAAAGACACAGCAGAATGACAGGTTCTAAGTTACGTGTTAAAAGATACTCTTTTTGACGGCTACGTGGAGAAAGGATGACTTTTACTCTCTTAATTTTGTTTTACTTTTCATTGTAGTCTGAATTAGGTGACTTAGATACCTGGCAAGAAAATACCAATGCATGGGAAGAAGAAGAAGATGCAGCCTGGCAAGCAGAAGAAGTTCTAAGGTATTTGAGTGGCATTTATATTGCAACCTGAGTAGAAGAACTAGATTTCTTCCCTCCTGTGTTTCAAGTCAAGGGAGCCTATTCTGCCAAATATATTTTTCTTCATTTGAGCCTTAGATAGTATGGAGTTTTTTGTTTTTTTTTGTATTTCAGACTGCAGATACTATTTTATATGATTAAAACCTCACGGAAACCAAGAATTTTAAGCACTGTAGGAACAAAATAACTTAATTAATGGCAAATGAAATGTTATGTATACATGTATATAAAAAGTTTTATATATATATGGTTATATACATATGATACATATCATATTGCAAGCTTGATATTCCTCTAGATCAGAAGTTACAACTTTACTTCCATTTCCTCATGATCTAGCATAGTGCCCAGCACTGCTCATTTGAATGAAAATAACTTATGTGACACTGTACGTTTGTACATATATCTTAAATGATGTCCGTGAAAGCCCTCTGTGTTAGATGAACTACCCATTCTACAAAAAATACTATTCTGGAAGTTCTAAAGTTCATTTTTATTGGTTGTTCTTTTTTGTGTGTGGGCAGCAAACATATTTCTTAGTACTGCTACGTTAGGTCAAAGAGTAAAGAGAAAATTTATCTTAAGGGAGAGCTAGTGACTACTGATTTTTAAAAGTCAGATATTTAAATACATCTAAATAATTTATGCATTTTTAAAATTGTATAGTAAGATACAGCAATATAATTTTTTTATTTTAAAATTTAGATTGTTTTTATCATAGGAATAGCAAACAAATTATTCTTTATCTGACTCGCAACAAAAAAACGGATTTCATTTTTGTATTTTCCTTTCTTGGCTTTGTCAATAAATTACAGTTACTTTGAACAACCAGCAGAGGGTGCAGCTAAATAACTGGGAATTTTGTTTGAAGTTTTTGTTTTTTTTTCGTTTGAAATATATCAAGTCCTTTTTTGTTTGTTTGTTTTTTTGCTGGTTAGGGGAAGTCACATTTCAAAATTCAGTCAGGAAAATTGTGAGAGTTTTTAAAATTTAGTTCTTATTTAGTCAGTATAGCTTATCTTTTATAAAGGGAATATTTTTTAAATTGTGAACTGTAACACTTAGGATATTGCATGGATCATCAAAAAAGACAAATCATCTCTTTAAAATTCAGTGTTATTTTAAAAAGTAAATAATAAATACAGATGTCTGAGTATTTAAGACATTTTGGGGATTCTAGTAATTATTAGTGCCATTAACTGCAAAGACAAAGGAAGGGGGCTGTCCTTTTTAAATACGGTAATCTCACTGTAGAGTTCATGCCATGAGTTCACAAATATCTTAACATTGTACAAAAACCTTTTCTTTTTCATTATAGCCTCTTAACCCCTAACAAAACAAGACAAATGAAAAAAATGTACTTAAAAACTTAATGTTTTACCCTTTAAGGACAGCTTGGGAGAGTGAGATTGTTAATCTGCAATAGACATGCTTCATGCTGCAAGTACATAGGTAGAGCCAAAGAGAAATGGAGGCGTCCGTACATTGTTACTGCCCCTGAATAGACACTGAGCATTTTAAAAGTGTATCCACATTCCGTATCTTCTAACTCTGAGCTTTTTTCCTATTGCCACTATAAAATGCTGCCAGTACTGTGATCAGTATTGCTAAGAATGATGATTCTGGTACTTTAATAATTCCCAGCATGAATCTGGATAGGTAAAATGTATTGTCGTCTGCAGCTATCTCTTACGTTGTCTCTTTTACATTTTAGTTTTTGATACAGATTGGGTATCCCTTTCCAAAATGCTTGGAACCAGAAGTGTTTCAGATTTTGAAATTTTTGAAACCTTAGAATATTTGTGTTCTACTACTGGTTCATCATCTCAAATATGAAAATCTAAAATCTGAAATGCTCCAGTGACAATTTCCTTTGAGCATCAGGTCAGCCCTCAAAAAATTTCAGATTTTGGAGCATTTCAGATTTTGGATTTTTGTATTTGAGGTGCTCAGCCCTTATATTATTTTAGCTAGTAACCAGGTCAAAACTTTGTTATCTCACTTGTTTATAGCCTAGCCAGCCCTTTATAGTTTTTTCCTTACCTTCCTTTTTTCTTCTGGTTTGACATTTTTAGTTCAGATTATTAGTTTTTCTTGAATATGAGCAGAGTGATGAAAAATAGATTTTTTAAAACTGTTCTTCAGAAATTGATAGCAAAAGTCAAAATGTTGCCAAAAATAGTTGCTTTACTTTCTTGAATTTTGGTCATCCATAACTCTGCCTACTCCTGTTTATGATTGAGAACTGTACATACTTTTCACTCACTGTAGTCAGTATTGATCTCCCCCAGACATAGATAATCCACTTTGGATTTTTCTGCATATAACCTAATGTTGCCTATTCCATGCCCAATTGTGACCTGTAGCTTCCTTCCTCAACGCTGCATACTTGAACGATTTTCTCACACCCTAACCCTTCAGATCCAGGACCAACATATGTTCACTCTGCTCTGTCCTGTTTCATCATCCCACTCCTACCTCCACTCCCTACATAAACCAATCAATAAAGATAGAGAGAGTGAGTCTGGGTCAGTGGAGTTATGGAAAGAGTAAGGAAGGGGTATGTGTTTCACAAAGTGTAATTAGTAAATACCTACCTCTCTTTTTTTTTAAAAAAACTTTTAAGTTCAGGGGTACATGTGCAGGATGTGCAGGTTTGTTACATAGGTAAACGTGTCAAGGGGGTTTGTCATACAGATTATTTCATCAGCCAGGTATTAAACCTAATATCCATTATTTTTCCTGATCCTCTCCCTCTGTCTAACCTCCTCCCTTCTGGTAGGTCCCAGTATGCATTGTTCTCTATATGTTCATGTGTTCTCATAATTTAGCGCCCACTTATAAGTGAGAACATGCAGTATTTGATTAAATACCCACCACTCTTCTCTTTGGTAGAGTTAGTCACATGTTAATCTTGAAATTTATTTCTAGATTCTAGGTGGAAGGTGTATCTCAAGTTTCCGTTTTCTTTTTGGAGCATGTGTTCTGTTCAGCTGTGTTCATCATTCTCTTTAAATACTGGCTGTTTATAACTACTATATTAACAGGAGATTATCAAGCTCAATATCAGGCTTTTCTGAATGGTATCCCCAGAAAAAGATGTGGTTCAATGGAAGTACTGTTTTACGAAATGGAGATAATCTGAATAAGAAGTGTCAGAAGATGTGGGTTCTTATCCCTGTACTTAATCCTATGACTTCGGGCCAGTCACGTAGCCTTTATGCCTCATTTTACTTATTTGTAAAATAGAGATAATATTTCTTCTACTTCACAAGTCATGTTCTAGGAACTAAGAGAAATCCTGTTTTTGAAAATATTTGGAATTTTCAACTTAGTGAGAAGATTTCAAGACTTTCAACATTTTATTTGGTGGTGATAAAAAGGCACTGCTATTTGTTTCTAGAATTTATTTGCCATTTTACCTGTGTAGTATTTTCTAAAAGTAAAAATATAAGTATATTTCTTTTCAGACAGCAGAAACTAGCAGACAGAGAAAAGAGAGCAGCCGAACAACAAAGGAAGAAAATGGAAAAGGAAGCACAACGGCTAATGAAGAAGGAACAAAATAAAATTGGTGTGAAACTTTCATAACACATGTTCTTCACATTTTATCATGCCAGTAGGAGAAATCTCAGCTCCACAACTCTAGCAACATTTGTGTGGATGTAAGAGTATTTTAAGCATACACACTGCTTGATTTTAATACATTGATCAAGCCATCCAGGACACCAGGATTCTCCCAAAGTACCTTGAACTCTTAGTGATTGAGACTCAAAAAAACAAAAAAGACTTGAGACAATGTTTTCTTCAACGTGCTCCAAATATAAGACATTTGTTTGCTGTACAGAAAGTATCACAAATGGAATATATCAGTACCTCTCAAGCTAGTGTTTCTAGCTAAATAAATGGGTGTATATAATTTTATGGTGGAAAAGGTCTGTTATGATTTCCTTCAATGTGCATAATGATAAAATAAATAATTTTAATATTCTTTTGTTTCCATGGTTACCTGACCTAAATTAGATAAATTGTAGGGCTTTAGCTTTCTTATTTTTGTCAAAAGTTGGTGTTGACATACATTCTCTCTAATTTGAACTGGTATTGTTTACGTTTGATACAACATTAAGGAATTTGATGATTTTCATTTCATGAAAATGACATTAAATGCAATAATTTTATTTATCATAAACATTTTGTACATCATTGTTTTCTTTTGGATTGGTGTTGTAATGTCATACATGTAATTTATACCGCATGTATAAACATTGAAAATCAACTAAAATGACATTTGTTTTACATTATAACTTGTGAATTTTAAGAACTAGTATTAGTAGTTTTTTCCTTTCACTATAGATTTTAAGATGTTGTGGTATCTTTGAGTGCCTTAGTTCTTCCTCCATCCCAAAAGCCATTAATTTACAAATGCATAAAGCCATCAGGTCAAATATTTCAAAGCTTGTAGATGATTTCTGTATTAGCTTTAGATGTCCGACATTATGTAGGTTACCTGTGTTATTGGCTAGGATAACATTATTGATTCATTAAATCATAAAGGTAGGAATAATAATCTTTTATTTATGCTGTTGATTGGCTCCAAAATAGTCTTAAGGAAATAGTTAAATACTGTGTTTATAGGAGAAAAGTAGACTTGATAGTTTAAAATCCCATTAACCTTTTCATCACAACTGAAATGCATCCAGCTCGATTTTCCTATCATTTTAGAATTTTTAAAGATTTTTACTAAGTTACTGCCTAGAATCAACACTCTGTGAGATTTTAAAATGTCATAGATACTCTACAGGCCAAACCTTGCTAATTTATTTTACTTAAAGTGATATTTTATAGAAAAATCATAAGTTATACAATGAGAACCCTTTAAGCCCTTAGCCTAAGATTCCAGACTAAATGTGATTATAGAATAAGATGAAATTTAACTTTGATACAGAGTTTGTTATAGCCCCAAATTATATTTCCAGTTATATTCATTATAATTTCTGCTAATAAACTCCCAACTTAAATAGAACTGGGCTCAAAGTTTTAATAATGTATTCTCTTCCTTCTTTGTATTTATATTTAGTTATTATGGGAATACAACATGGCTTGTCTAAATTTGGAGTTCATAAAGGATAAAACTTCCTTTAGCTCAATTACTTGTATTGCTTTTCCCCAGTAACTGAAAAGTATTTAAGTTTGCTTTGGTCATGATTTTCATATGTTTGAGGTTTTTGTTGTTGTTGTTTTTTGGCTTTTTGGTTTTTGGTTATTTAAAAATAAAGATGTTAGAAATTATAGTTAGTATGATTAATTAGGAAGAAATAGATTTTTCTTGTGGAAAGAATAGGTAACAATTCTGGAATTTATTTTATCTCTATTGATGTGTAAACTAAATTCCTGTATTAACTTGGGTATATTTTGGTCCCAAAAGTAGTCACTGAGTTAAATGCATATGATAAACAATTCATGGTAGCATACTGTCTCCTTTAGCTACTAAATTTACGGTTTCTATTTTTTGTTTTATTGATTTCAATAAAGAATTGTCAGTTTTAGATGCTTATTAGAAGTAATAAGAAATACTGGTAGGCTTAGATAGAATTAGTGACATTTTAACCATTACCAAAATTGTGCATTTCATGTACTGAGATAACAAGTAATCAAAGACATGTGAAACTTACCTTGTGTTTTTTTTTTTTTAAATGTAATTTCATAGTTTCTAGCCATTTCCTGTAGCATGTTTAATTGAGTTGATATTTTAGAACTGAAAATTTTAAATTCTGCATCCAAATTTCTCAGTTTTAACATGCACTCGCCTCTGGGTGATTATTTCTAGGTTGTTTCTTGATGAAGATTGGTGATTGGGCAGAAGGTACCTAGAGAAACCAGCATCTGGATCGAGCTTCCAACACTACAAGCTACCACCATGGTGTAAACCTAACCATAGTCAGTGTTCCAAAAAGCTTGAATTTTGTTGAGAATGGTACGTTTCCTAAAGGATGGTTTGAGCCAGTCAGAGCTAACATACTCAACTTGTTTGATCCTATGAAGTTCAGATTTGGAATAATCAACAATGATTTTCATACTCCTTAAGCCCCTTGCTCAAAGGAAATCTTTAGGTGTGTAAGCAAACATGACAGTTAGGGTTCTGAATGGATCCATGCTGGGAGGTTGGGAGTGGACTAGAGCCTACAGATTGTTCCAGGGAAGGAGCTTATACCCTCTCAGGTGAACTGGAGGGCTGAAGAAGATAGTAGGTTCATGAAGAGCATATTTAGTAGCTAATACACTTGTTTTTGTCATTTACATAGTTTTTTAAAAATTTGAACTGATCTGTCCTAATATAATATGAAGAGACTTACTTTTTTCTTTGTGTAATTCCTTTCACTTTAATGTAACCAAAACTATCCCAAGCTTACAGCAACAGCTAGGCACTCCTTTTGTACTCAACTATATTTTGATTTTTTTACATTGCCTTCTACTTTTTATCTTCCATCCCTCTTGGTCATGACCATTGGGCATACTCAATAACCAGAGTAAGTTTTGAGAGCTAGTAAAATGCTTTTTCACCAGACACCTTCGATCTTCTATAGCTTGAAGAAACACTCTATTCTAGGGACCTCCTTAACCGTCTTTTACCCTCATACAACACATTTGTTTCTATCCTTTCATACCCCCTGCTGACACTGCTCGTTCACCAGTGGAAACTTTTGCAGAGAAGCTCACTGAAAGTCTGCAGCCAGTCCAAGATTATCCCAGCCTTCCCTTTCAGGGGACTTCCTTTCAGGGAGTCTTTTGGTAGATGCTTTCCTTATGTACATTGATCAGATCACACCAGCTCTGAGAGGTTCCCAGAGTTCTTAGAGCTTCTGTAGAGCTAGTACAGCATTAAACAAATTGCCGGAGTTTACAACTCTTTTAAATGGAAATAGTGGTTGTAAGGATTGAGACTGTACGTAAGTGTTCAGTATAAGCACTCAATAGTTGGAAGTTGGTATGAGGCCCTGTATACTTCCCACATCTCACCATTCAGTGGTATTGGCAACGCCTTCCCTGCAAAGAGTGGGAGAAGTTGCCTAATTTTGCAGTATTTTATACACATCTTTAAATTGAACTTGAAATTTCGCAAGACAGAGAACATTTATTGTAAGTCTGAGTCTTTTACTAATTATATCAATGACTCTTAGCAATCTTGTAAGAGAGATATTACCCTTATTTCACATATAAGGAAACCAAGGCTTAGAAAATAAATTGTGTACTTGATTAATGGGATGGAAAATAGCAGCTTTTGAGAGGAGGTTATAATAGTGGTTAATCAATAGTCTATATGGACTGTGATTTCTAAGGCCTCTCTTGATGGAACTATGAGCTGCCAAAAAGTCTTTTAAAGTTTCTCCTAGTTCTTAATGAAGATAGCATTACAAATTATAGAAGATAATACCAATTTGTGTTTTCTAGTAATTTAATAAATATGAAGAAAATTAGCTTGGTTTTTATTTTCATATAAATGACAACTGTTGAATATCAGTGCCATATAATTACGTATTTGCAGTTCATTTGGGTCAGATAAGGCAAAATGAAATGTGGTTTATATTCACACACCTGCAGAAATAAGCCAATTAGCGCACTTGATGGGGTCATAATTATAATGAGGTCAAGACCACAGGTTCTATGCATGTGCAGACCAGTATTGTACCTAGAGGCCTTCCTGCTACAAACTGTCCCTGACCTTGTCAGTTATTAGCGAGTGTCTTTAGGTTTTGGTTGAGAGAATGAATGGCACAGAAGAGAACATCTCCTTGTGTAGAAAATTCAAAGGACATACTCTGATCAGTATGTTGACTTAATTCTTGGAGCAATTTTGGCTCTTTATAAGATATTAACTAATGCCCATGATTAGTTTTATTTGTTAAAATATTCAGACCTTAATTTGAATTCTTATACAGCAATGCCATTTCCAAACCTGTTGACTATTCCTGAATAAACGCAGTGCTTACCTATTTTATGGAGAAAACACCATCATCAGATACAGTGGCCTCTGAAATTAACTCAGCATTTTATTGCAGTGCTAAGTGAAGATGTGCATAAGAATACAGATATATTTAACTTGTCACATTTAAGTTTAAAATGTGAAAATACAAGTGCTTTTATTGCTTTGTGAGGTTCTGCAGTGCATCTGAACCTTGTAATTACCTAATCTGTCTTGATTAGAAGGAGCCCTTATAGAGTGAGACAGTGCATGGGCGATCATTTTTAAAACTTGTCCATGTACAACTTCCAGTGGGAGATGTAAAAATTATTGTCTGCTTTCATTTTTCATTTTCTGTATACAACCAACAAGCTAGAAATAATGTGCTGGTTCAGAAAAATTAAAGGTCAGTTTAAAATGCCAGCACCTATTGTTTACTGTAGAAAGTGAGGCTGGCAAACCATTTCAAACACTGTGAGCTATTTAATTGTGAGGAAGGGGAAGGAGGTTCTTAACTGCACCATCAAATTAGAGAAGCCATGATACCTACTTTTAATATTCACAAGGTGAGTCAGACTTGATTTTATAATGCATCGTCATCTTATATGTATCATGATAGTCCCAGATACTTACATGGCTTCTATAATCTGAGGGAGAGAGAATGAGGTCCTCTTCATAGTTAAACCAATAGAGCACTGGCAGACAAATTTTGTAACAAAGGTTTAGAAAACAATTCTGTTAAGCATTCCTTATTTAGGGCAATAGAGAAACATATCTTCAGCATTAACCAGAGCAGTATTTCAATTAACAGTTTTCATATATGAGATCTTACATGAACTGAAAGTTTGCAAAGAACCTAGTATATAGGGAAATGACATGCAAGTCATTCTCAGAAGTAATACAAGGACCCGCGCAGGGGGTAGGGGGAGGTCAGTGGCAGGGCTTCCAGCCTGTATGCTCATTTGTATGTGTTTTATATATTGGAGTTTTTAAATGTCTAAAATACGCGTTAAAGTTGTACATCTTTTAACAAACTTGAATGCTACTAAAAATATTTCAATCTTCTAACAAAAACTCTTCTAAGTAGCACTTAAACCTTTTTTAAATTTTAAAATTCTTTGAAGTTATTGTAACCATTATAACAATCATTATGATTGTGGGAAAATCAGTGCACAGCAGTACATCCAGTGGGTTTAAAATAATTACCTGATACAAGTCTATTTTATTCTATTTGGACTTTCTAATTGTTTTTGTTCAGGACAATTGAGAGTCTGATGACATTCTTTCAAGATTTGTTATAAACTATTAATTTCCTAGGCTACTGTCTCATTGTGCACATTTTGCCGGCAAGATTGGAAGGAAATAAAATTTTTTCAAGTGCTCACTGACCCAAAATGGAAATGGGAAACTACCCCAAATCTTTCAAAATGAAAAACCCTCAAGAGGAAGACATATCAGACCCAACCACTACTTAGGCAGGGCAAATGATAAATGCAAATCACAGACTTCCTTTTTCTTCTGCCACAAATGTCAGAAACGCTTGGCATCTGAGTGCATTGCATTTTTTTCCCTCTTTTCTGAACAGCTCAACTTGGAAAGGTCAACATATCCCTTTGGGAAAAATCTTTTCTTATAAATTGGAATGTTTGCACACGTAACTGTAGGAAATGTTTAACATTTGCTTTCATGGGACAGCAATTTGTTCAATAGAGTGGGATTGTTCTTGTTTTTTCCATTTTCCTGCCTGTTTGTACATCACAGGCACTCTAATTACTGAAAGCAGCTTCGAGGCACTTCTTTCTATGGAATCAGATCATCCTATCCACAAAACCAGCCAATGCCTTGGGCTTCCAAAAGGCAAACATGTTCCATCTTTTAGTTACTCCAAGGGACTCATTTGTGAGAGACTGTTCTGAATAAAAGCAGTAATTTTCCACAGACTATACAGCTGAAACCCTGAAGAAGGAGGAGAGGGAGGGTGAGGGGGTGTCCAGTGTCTCCAATGGGTTGTTTGAATCTTTTGGTTTACGTAAAGGAGGATATAGGACATTAAGACGATAAAACTGTTTGCTATTGGTGATCAGCTGCATCCAATCTGACAATTAATAAATATTTGTGGTTTGTGGAGAATTCTTTCTAACCAGAGCCTATCCTTTCCCTCCAACTTGAATTTATGAAGAACAATGCTGAGTTTGTGTAGTTATATTTGTTTATATGGAAACAAGCAGATACTCAAAACAGGCTTATAATTTTTTTAAGTAAAAATGCTCTTAGCAATGACTTAAAATAAGCACAAGGAGGGACTTTAAGGAAGATACCAGTATCTTAAGTATTGATCTGGGCAGGACTACAGGAAGGGACCTGAGTCAACATGGCTCATTATTTTGGGACACTTCCGATTATTCACCTCCAGAAATAGTTTCCCTTCCATTTCAAACAAATCCTTCTACTGCTGACGAGAGCTGCAAGACGTGTAAATACAAATGTGTGTGCTTGAGACACGTGTGTATTCCAGTAGAAATGTCCTATCAGAGACAAACCATCTCTCCTCACACACATATTCCCATGCCCTGGATCCTATCCCTTCTTTTCAAGGGCTCTCCTTCCTCAATTAATTTATAATTTTTTATTATTTTATTCCCTCCTATGTCATTAATTTGTTTCTCTTCATTGACCCAATCACAAAAGCATACAAACATGTTCTGTCTCTTCTCAATATTGAAAAATTAACCTTTGACCTTATATCTCCTTTTAACTACCACTCAATTTCCTATTCTCCTTCATTGTAAAACTTTAAAAAAGTCAGCAGCACATATTTCTTTCCACTTTCTCTCTTCCATTCACTCTTCAACCTGCTCCAATTGGCCTTCCATCCCCACTTCTCCAAGGACTGATCTTGACACAGTCACTAAGACCTTGCTGTCAAAGCCAGTGACTATGTAACTATTCTCATATTACTGCTCAATCTCTTGGTGGGACTTCAACACAATTGACTGCTCCATTCTTCTTGAATTACTCTCTTCTCTTGGTTTTTATACTACTAGTCACCTAGTTTTGCTCTTACATTTTGGGCTGTTATTTCTTTGGCTGTTTTGTTGGTTCTTCATCCTCCACCTCTACCTAAATGTGGAAGTACCTCAAAAATCCATTTTTGACCTTTTTTCCTTCTCTACACTCTTCCTGGATGACCTCATTTGTTCCCATGGTTTTAATTACCACACAAATGGCCAGAAAGGTTCAGTGTTACAACTCTACTCCCGACAGCTCCCTTGATTTTCACATTTATATATACAGTTACTCTTGATGCCTCCATATAGATATTTTAATAGACATCTCAGTTTTATTTTCCCAAACTTGTTTCTCTTGAACTCTTCCCATTCTGAGCAAATGCAGCCACCACTGATCCAATTGCTCGAGCCAAAAACCTGAGTCACCCCTATTTTTTTTCTTTTCCTTACTCCACATTTAATCCATCAGCAAATCACATTAGTTCTATCTTCAAGCTATATCTGTAATTATTCAACTTAATCTCTGTATCTACTTCCACCTTGAAATTGGCATCATCTCTCATCTGGACATTACAATAGACCCCTAAATGGTGTCCCTGAATAAACTGAAACCTCTACCATGGTTTATGTGACCCCATATGAAGCAGCTTCCTGTCTACTCCAACTTTCTCCTTCCTTCTCACTCTGCTCCAGCCACACTGACCTCCAGGATGCTCCTGTCACATGGTGAGCCCATTCTATCTGATGGCCTTTGAATTTGTTGCTCTTGCAACAAGATTTTGTCCCATATTTTCTCATGATTGACTCTTTTTCATCCATTCCCACCAACGTTATTTCTTCAGAGATGTGTCCCTTATTTTCACCTCTGCCACACTTGGTCAAAACACCTTATTTCCTTTGAGGCATTTACCACTATCTGAAACCATCTTTTGTTTATTTGATGGCATGTTGTGTCCCTCACAGACACAGAATGTAAGCTTCCTGAGGACAGAAACCTTGTCTGTCTCCTTCACTATTTAAGACCCATCCTGGAAAGTGCCCAGTTAGCATCGGAGTACCTGGTATTTGCTGGATTAATTAATTCATTCAACAGCAATTTTTAGACTTTCCACTGTGTACCAGGTACTGTATCAAGTTATTTTTAAATTTTTAAATTTTGTTTTTAGAAAATTAAAATATTTTTAAAATATTTTGGGCATCCCCAGTAGGTGTCTATATAGGGCTCATGAGATTTTGGTACAGGCAGGCAATGTGCATGTAATAGTCACATCATGAAAGATGGGGTATCCATCCCCTCAAGCATCCTTTGTGTTAAAAACAATCCAATTATACTCTTTTAATTATTTTAATATATGCAATTAAATTATTACTGATTATAGGTTCCCTGTTGTGCTATCAAATTCTAAGTCTTATTATTTCATTTGTTCTAAGTTCTTGACATACACCTGTGAACAAAACAGAACACAGATCCTTTCCCTCATGGAGCTAATATCTAAGTGGGAAAGATGGGTAATAACCAAGACATTGTAAGTAAAAGGGTGGTATGTTTAAAGGTGGTAAGTGCTATGGAAGAAGAGTTTCTGGATGAGGACTTAGGGTATTTTCCAGCCTCTTCCCTTTGTGTGGCAAATTAGAAAAGGCATTTGCTTTTGCAGACACTTGAAATCATGGCTTCTGGAGAGATGAGTTCTGAGATCCTGAACATTTTTCCTCTTTGAGGCTTAGCTCTCTTATGTGTGTAAAATACTAATCTCAAAATTTTGGTGTAAGCACTAGATGAACATAGATCCAATACCTTCTCATCCCTTCCCAGCCACCCACCCTCATCCTATCATTCTGGGGAAGGAAGCTGTATGTCACTACCATATTCTCCCTCTCCTGAACACCTAGCATGCTTAAATCAACCCAACGTTCATGAAAACACTGAAGATGTACTTACTGCATAAACATGTAGACAAACTAGCGTATGGGCAATTTAAAAGTAAACAAAGCTACTTGTACTCAGAAATGATGCTTTTTAAGTAAGGGTAGGAAATCTTCACCTTTATTTAATAACTCTTTTTCCCTCTTTCTAATTTAATTCAATTTTTACAGACCCCTATTGATTAAGATGTTAGATCTGCTATTCATTGTCTTTCTTATACATAGAAGTAAAATCACAGAGATAATTATTTTATAGGAGGATAAAACATTTATTTAAATGGAAACACTAATCTTTATTTTCATCATGCTGAAGTGTGTGGTTACAATTTCCAACAAAACACTATATATAATAAGCAAAATAAGTTAGTACATTGTAAACTTATGCACAGTTTCATCAATTAACAGTTTAAGAACAAACAAGCCATTTAAGACTTTGTAGCTACATTTAGTAAAAAATTGCAGACACTCAAATCTTATCAACCCCAAGTAAGACACTAAAGAGCTATTCAAGACTTCTTCAAACCAATTACACAAATACATGTTTATTTTTGGTTACAGTCCCCTGCTATGCACAAGACCATTGGAATGCTGGAACGATTACACATTTTAAAACGGCACAAAGCAAAGCAAGGAGATAACATGCCAGCCTTAGAGAAGCTGTCTTGAAAGTGCAAACTGCATTTTCTCTTCCTGAACCACTAGGATAAGAACGGGTACCTCAGACGACACGGCAGGGTCATGAGCATGCTTTCTATACCGCACTGGTGGGACATTTACTAGAACCAGGTCTCCATGCCTTTGAAGATACCTCCGGTTTTAAACAGTGAACAGGCTTCAACTAAATATAGTGCAAATCAAATACCGAGGAGCAAAACGACAGAATAGAAACCGTCACAGATCGACCTCCTGTTTCTCTACCTGGCACAACCCACATGGGACACATTGGCACACAGTAACAACAACTTCTATTTAGGTTTTGATATGGAAGGCGGTGCGGCGGAGCGAATGCAGGGCAACCACGCAACAGCCCCTGAGCAAGGCCCCGATGTTATAGACAGGATCCGTTCCCCCTCTCTGAGTACTGAATGCCCACAGAACCGTGGGGACCACGGGGGCAGCCACAGCCAGGAGATCCACCAGGAAGCTGCTGCTCCAGTACTGCCTCACGACGCCCCCGCGAGCCAGTGGGATGACACCATCCAACCTCTCTTCCACGCAGGCTGCAAAATCTAGCTCTCTCATGAGGCGGTTTGCATGGACTTCTGCATCCACATTGGCGGACGGGGTCTCCACGGGAGACAAAAGGATGGCTGAGTTTGGATTTCTTGGAGTTAAATCAACCACTAAGGCAGAGAGGGACTCTGGGAAGCTCTCCATCGAGTCTGGTTCAGACTCATCAGGGGACGCCAAGCTCGAGGGACAGGGGTCCTGCAGCTTCTGCAGCACATTCTGAATGAGCTCCGAGATGGCGGGGCTGTAGGGCACCACGTCGGTCTGTACGGCTCGCTCCACCACCACACTGCCCTCCTCCAGACCCATGACCATGGGCAGCAGCTCCAGGACATTAGCCCCAGGGGTGGAATGCACAAGCTCCAGGTCACCAGATTCTGTGGTGGTGGCTGTTACCATCTCATCAAACAAATCTGTGCCATCGGCTATGCTATCTCCCACCAGTAGCTCCCTGTCAACCCCTTCCCCAGCAACCTGCTCTTCCAGAGATAACCCATCTGCCATTGTGTCAAGAGGGGGGTTGAGGGTTAAACTCTTCTCTGGGGAATCACATGGAAAATCTAGGCACAGTTCGTCCCTCAGAGAGCCACTGTGTGCCATCTCCATGCTCTGAAGGAGAGACTCCAACTTCTTGTTTTGGATGTTTATGTCCACAAAATATTTCTGAATGCCTTTATCTTTATCAGCCAAGCTGCTCCGCATGGTTTCGATGACCTGTTTGAGCTGTTTAATCTCTTTCCTGGCTTCTTTGAGTGCCAACTGGGCCTCTACCCGGTGGCACTCCTCCTCAATCCAGTCCTCTCGCATGCGGGCCAGCTGGGACTTAAGCTCCACGATTTCACTTTCCCTAGAGTGCCAAGACAAGCATGGTTAATAAAAAAATAAAACAACTTTGAACTGGGCAACAGGCAGTTCTGGCACAGAGCCAAGAACTCATACTCTTCCACTTGAAATACAGATGTGAAATCAGTTTTGAATGCAGGGAACTCAAGAGAACACAGAAAACTTGAGAAAATACTCCAGCCTAAACTTAAAGAAACAGTACATTTTCTCTTTGGCAGAGATTAGCCATGAACTTTCTCTTTAATTGTAGAATGGCTAAAGTAATAATAGTAATCAGAATCAGAATCAAAATAGCTACCACAATTTTTTTGAGTACCCATGATGAGTCAGATATTGCACTGTTACAAGTCTTATCATCTACTCAATCCTTAATATTTAAAATGTTATTATTAGAACATCTTAGCATCTGTTAGCGTGTTTCTATCTCCATAGCCTACTCTTTCCAAATGTCTATAGTTTGTGGAAGAAAAGGCCAGTTCACTTTTAATTACCTATCAAAGACAGAAGGTAGACTGATAAGTTTTAGCCTTGCTAAATTGTTCGGATGATATTCCAATGATAAACATTTTTGAAATCATAAAATGCTACACATGGCAGGGACTTTACATGTTGACAAGCTGCTTATTCTATCTCCTCTCAGATGGGATAATATTGAATTCATCCTACACTAAGGAGAAGCGATCCTACTTTTTAGATCCTTCACAGGACAACCCTACTTCAAGATCTTTGCATATAAATTCTTTCTTACATATAATTTTTTCATAGTCAGTCCTTACATTCTCAGTGGATATGAAGATAGGGTAGTCAGCATCCTCATATATATGAAGAGACATCAATATTGTTCATTTAAGTTTAGGCTAGAATATTTTCCCAAGTTTTATTGCATTCCCATTCCTTCCTCCCTTGAGTGCTCCAATCCTCCTACGGACTGGGCAAATCACAGACCAAACACTTCCAGACTTAAGGTCTAACTCACCCCAGAGGAGAGTTTGGGTCTCAAGTCTATTTCAGACAGACGATGAACCAGATTAATTTGGAAGATGAAAAATGTCCCTTCCTCACAGTCTGCGCCCTTATCTACCCACAGTTTTAGCAACCAAGGTCATTGAGTTTTCTCTATTTCTTTGTGGCAGCAGCAGAGCAGGTTTGGGCTGATCAGGTAGCCCAGACTCTTAGAGAATGCAAATGCCACCCTCACCCTGAGCTCACAGCTACCCTGGTCAGAGCTTTCCTGGTCTGTTCCAAAATGTTCCAGGGGAAAACCATCAAGCAGAAAAACTGGCCTGCTGCCCAGATGTCAAAAGTCTTCTCCCTCAGATAAGATCTCTTAAGCATGGGCTTTTTTTTTTTTTTTTTTTCCAACCTTAACACTTGGCCAAGAACAATGAGCCCCTTCCTTCAGCACAAAAATAGCATGCAGGAATTACAATGCACACAGATATCCATTCGTGCAGGGATATAAACAGGGCTTAATTGGTCCACGGTGTGTGACCCATTCTGCTGGAAGTATGGGATTGTTTGCTCACGTGTTTTTGCCATTTAAAAATAGTCATGCACACACCCGATTATTTCACATCAAAGCTGTATACACTGCAAAACAACAACAACAAAAAGGATCCCCTCTAACCGACGGGTCTCCCTGAACTCCTGAAACAGCCAAATCACACAGAATTATGAAATGGCTCTTTTCAGAGGCTGATTTAAAAATTTGACAAAAATTGAATACCATCATTTTTTTCTTTTCTATCTTTCTATAATTTGGGTTCATGTTTCATTTTATGAAGAAAGAAACTGTCCTACACCCCACTGTGCAAGGAAGGCAGATTCACCTTTCATGGAGTCGGCGCTCAGATTCCTTCAGCTTGGTTTTGAGGTGTCTCACTGTAACCTCTTTCTGCTGCAGAGGAGTCAAATACTGCTCTGGGTTTGGGGGTCTGACACCATGATTTTCACCGCAAGACATGTACCTTCCGGAACGCCTGAAACAATCCAAGTAATGAAATGTTACTTTTTGCCATTTCCTTTTCTATAAAAAGAAGAGTAACACAGAGTGTTATCAGCTGAATGTTTGTGTCCCTCCAGAATTCATATGTTGAAATTCTTACCCCAATATGATGGTATTAGGTAGTGAGGACTTTGGGAATTAGCTCATAAGGGTGGAGCCTTCATAAATGGGATTAGTGCTCTTATAAAAGGAACCCCAGAGAGCTTTCTAGCTTTCTTTTTACACCCTGTGAGGTTACACTAAGAGGTGAGCAGTCTGCAGCCCAGAAGACAGCCCTCCCCAGAACCATACCTTGCTGGCACCCTGATCTCAGACCTAACCCTACAGTATGTAGCCCATGGTTCTCGAAAGATATGGACCAACGTCTAGGGTACTTTGTTATAGCTACCCACATTGACCCAGACACAGCTAACAGCTTGAGAAGGAATGGCAGCTATGTGCTGGGGTCTTAAGCCTCAATAATGGCTGACGTCACTTCAGAAGGTGAGCTGTAATAGAACTGCAGATCTTAAGACTGTTAATTACTTTTACTTTGAAGATTGAAGGCGGTATTGGTGTACTTATGGAGAGAATAGGGACAGTGGAGGAGGAGAATTTTCTATGGCTTAGGAATGTTCTCATACAAAATAATGCACCATTGTCCAGATGCCTGAGCTGTCAGTTCAGAGTAACAGGCAGCACAATGGGCGAGGGTCAGGGGATGGGCCTGGGCAGAAGAGAAGGAAGCAAGCAAGATGACCTAACTTTCCACACAGTGTGCCACTGCCTAAAGATCCTGATGACTATTTGCTGAATGCAAGTTGTTCTAAAATCAATCCCTGCTGTGAGTATGCCAGTTTGGAGGAAATGGAAAGGTCCTTCTTCTGAAGGGGAGAAGTTTCTTCCTCTACTTAACTCTCCCCAATGTGTTTTGTAAGAGAGGCTCAATGTTTTACAAAACAGCCCTTGCTGGAATCTTGGCCCCTCTCAGGCCTGGCTGGGAGCTGGGCATCTCTGCTGTAAGAGAGCTGACTGACGAGAATAGAGATGCCCAGCAGGAAGAAGGCTGAAGGAGGAAGGCGGCCAGCTCCTTCCCTGACTCTGGACCCAGTCCCAGCCACCGTGCTGCCAGCTCCCTGAGCACCTGCCTGCCTCCAAGATGACCTGTGTCCATGCCCACCGTCCAGTCCTCCTGTCATGGCCTCTTTGGAAATGCAGTTCCTTCTTTCTGCTCCACACTCCCTACAACCTCATATGAATTAACTTCTTGCTTGCTCTTCAGACCTCAATTCCACTTCACTTTCTCAGGGAGGCCTCCCCGGATCGCTCCAGACTGCGTTGGACCCCTCCCCACCTTTCACACACCCCTGTAGCAACAGGTGCCTACAGAATCATCTTAAGTTGTTTTTGTTTGTTTGTTTGTTTGAGATGGAGTCTTGCTCTGTTGCCCAGGCTGCAGTTCAGTGGCGTGATCTTGGTTCACTGGAACCTCTGCCTCCCAGGTTCAAGCAATTCTTCTGCCTCAGCCTCCTGCTGCTTCTGTGGCATTTTCTCTCCCTATCCAGGAACTGCTTAGATTGCTGCGCCTTGTTAGAAATTGTGGCTTGTGCTCTTTCTGCAGCAGCCCTTGAAGAATCAGCCAAATGTCGGAAAGAAAAGTGCAGTGTCTTGTTGTAGAATCAGGCAAGGGATCAAGAGTTGTATAACCCTTATTTTCTTTTTAAAAGAAAATCTTACCAAGTAGGACAAACTAAGATGCATGAATTAAGCAGGACTCACCTCATGATGGGGCTACAGTCGCTTCCTTTGTAGGAGCCTGAATTGCTACTGCTTGGGGAAGAAGGTGCATAACTGGGATGGATATTGACAGGGCTCAGCTGATTCCTGCACAGCATGGACAGAAGGTCCTTTTCCCGCGGGGATGATGGGCTGCTGCCAGGCTTGTGTGACGAAGCTCCATTACTCCGCCCATGAGGACCTCGACTGGGAAAAGCATGAAAAATGTTAAAATCCTTGGGGCTACAGATGCCCAAGGGCTAATGTCTTACTCCCTAAATCTAAGGAAATCCAATTTATGGAGTTGAAAGGGGCAATACAATTATTTGTGTAGACTTTCCTTCGGAGCGGCCTTCTTCCCACCTGCCTGGTATTTTCTCGCCTTGTGTCATCAGCACAAGCAACCTCTCCCTCTGTTGTTCTTTCAAATAGTTTCTGGCCATAAAGCTTGTTTTGGATTACACCCAATAGCCTGCTAAGAACATACACAATGTAGAATATTGATTTAGCTCAGGTTTATTTTGGACGCTGTTTTCAAGATGTGGTTTTTGTTCTAGTCCACCTGTTTCAGTTTAGAAATATTTGCGTTTGGTTCACGTCAGGGTAAGAAAATTAATGTGGCTCATTTGGAGGATGGGGGAAGGTGGTAGCACATAAAGGAGGAGGAGAAAACAGGGCAGATAAACAGCACGCATAAATGCATCATCGGTAATTTTGATCACTTAAATTTTTTTTTCATTTCTTTCTAGCCCCAATGACTTAAGACAACCTTTGTCATTTAACTGCTGAAATACTGTAACAGCCCCATCTTGGTTCTCCTGCCTCTTGCTTTGCTCCCTCCAGTAGAAGGTTGGCTTGTGGCTGGAGTGGCCTTTCAAAACGGAGTCTGATTCAATGTCCTCCTCAAAGCCTTGCCATGGTTCCCCACTGCCCCCAGAACAAAGGCCAGCCTCCTTAAGATGGTTCACAAGGTCTAATCCCACCACTCCACCCAACCCCATCCTCCACCACTCCTCCCTCCTCCCTCTGTACTACAGCATTCCAAATGACTTACAGTTTCCTGAAGGAGCCATGCTTGACCATCCTTAGGTTTTTGAACTCATAATCTCCTCTGCTTAGAATGTTCTCTTGCTCCCTTCCCTAAGCCCCTGGATACCAGGATATTTCCTACTTTGAGACTGATGGGAACCTACTCTAAAGAGCCTTCTCTATATTCTTCCTTTCCTAGGCCAGTGTAGGGGCACTCCTTAATGCTCTCTAAAACTCTGTGCAAATTTCTACCATTGGACTTATCACATGGCATCACAACTGCATACTTATTTGTCCTTCCTGCTAGCCTAGGGCATCCTTGAGGGCAGGAACAGCCTGTTCTTTCTACCCTCCTACTTTTGATACATGGTAAGTGTTCCCTAAAGGACTGCTAAATAAATAAACCAGGTGTGAGTCACTGGCACTGCCACTTAGTAGGAACTTAGGCAAGTAAGCCACTTAACATGGAGATCAAAACACACACACACACCCACACACACACACCTTTCCTACCTTCCTCACAGAATTGATGTGAAAATCAAATCAAAGAATGCATGTGAGTACATTCCACAAGCTATTAAGGGTGACTCAACTGTAGAGTATTATTAGATGATAAACTTGTTCAAACTTCACCGTTAATCCTGTTACAGAGATTTGACACCCACTAGTGTAAGGAAGCATCTTGAGAATGTTGAAATTACTTAAACAGGATAAAAATTCTATGTCAGGAATATTACTTGATGGCAAGAAAAAAAAAAGAGAGAAAACAAGATAGCTTTCATATAGTAGTACTGCTTTCTGACAATCCTTTCTTTGCAATTTTAATTACAGCTGTATCCAACTGACATCTTAATGAGAAATGTGTGTAAATGTGAATGCAAGTGTGCATGTGCGTATACTTGGCTTCGAAACCATGATTACTTATTTACAATCAAATATAATTTCAACTGGCTGTCAACCTTGCAAACCATACATAAATAAAACGTAACCCAGTTCTAAAGTTAAAGTTCTTTCCTTTTGAAATCATCCAAATGAATGCCGCTCTTCTCTTCGTGAGGACACTTTATATGGAACAGATGGGCTGATGGCTTTGTGACAAAACCAACTTCAGCAGCCCATAGTAGAAAGAACTTCATGAGTAGCTGAAAGGAACATGTACCCTGGCGTGCATTTTCTTTTCTATGCTTCAATTCTAAGTCTGGCATCAACCAGACTAGTTCTTAATCTGATTATGAGAAATATGGACGATTAGCTATTACATGTTAGGCGGGAATGTAAAGAGCTGTCCCATATTTTGACCTGGGGAATTTTATTACGAGTTAACTGCCACTGAGGACCTTCTGTGACCCTAGCACTGTTTCGGGTGCTTTCTGAATATTGATCAGGAAATAAATTATCAGACAGCTTGTAAGAGCTAACTTTTTAAAAAGAAGCAACATGCTTAAAAATATCAGTTCTCTTCATTTAGTAGTTCAAATGCTAACATATATAGGTGCAAACTCATTATAGGCATTGATAGGAAACATTTTCAAAGGAGACACTGAGATTCCATGTTTGTCATGGCCATGAACCGGCAAACCCAATGCTGTCCTCTTCAGCCCATCCCAGATCCTTTGGTCTGGTGGACAAGAAAAACGCAGTCCACAAAAAGGAGAGAAAATTCTGCTGACCTTGAACCCTTCTACAAACCTGAATATGTAACTAGAAGGTCAGAGACAGAGGAGTGTAGAAGAAACCTCATGAGTGACTCAGGTGAATTTCGATTCCCTGACCATGGCTCTGGACTTCAGGTAATATCATTGTTATCACCATCATCATCACCACCATCATCACCATGATCTAGGGTTGAACCGTGTCACCCCCTGCAAATTGGTATGTTGAAGCCCTAACTCCCAGTACCACAGAATAACGGGGCTTTTAAAAAGTGACTAAGTTAAAATGAGGCAGTTAGAGTGGACCCTAATCCAGTTTAACTGGTGTCCTTATACAAAGAAGGAATTTGAACAGACATAAACAGAAGGAAGATGATGTAGAGACACAGGGAGAAGATGGCCACTACAAGCCAAGGAGAGGAGCCTCAGAAGAAGCCAACAGACATCTTGGTGTCAGACTTCCCATTTCCAGAACTGTGAGTAAATACATTTCTGTTGTTTAGGCCATCCAGTCTATGGTGCTGGGTTATGCAGCCCTAGCAGACTAATATAATCACCACCACCATGATTACCACCATAACCACCACCACCAGTAGCAGCAGCAACAGCAACAGCAACAGTACCACGTCTCTTAGTATTACTTTCATCCCTACTGAAAAAAACCACCTTTTACCAACGCTTTCACTGAGTTCTGGGCATCATGTCAAGCACTCACATATATCATCTCATTTAACGCAGTGAGGTAAGATGCTATTATTATCCCATATCCCAAAACAGGAAACTGAGGCTTGGGGTCATACACCTGATAAATAATGGAGGTTAACCTCAATCCCAGGTCTGTCTGACTCCAAATCCCAAGGGTTTTCTTTTTCTGTCTCATTTTTATCTTCCAAACAGATTCGTGTTTTAGTTAAGAAAGACAATTCCTTAGCA